AAAGTTGGAATATGATTATCCTAAACCCTTTATGGTAAAATATAGGGTCTCCTACCCTGAAACCATATTCCAACTTTCTGGAGTTCCCTTTAGTGGGAAGGGGCGGCGGAGTGTGGTCTTGCAGGTTGTGACAGAGACTGGCAGCCGACTTTTGGCAGCAGAATACCCCAAACACCCGTGAACTAGGGTTTAGGGTTTAGGTTTTAGGGGTTTAGGGTTTTAGGGGTTTAGGGTTTTTGGTTTAGGGTTTAGGGTTTAGGGGCCCATCAACTTCATGGAGAGATTCACTTCTCTCAGTTCAATTGATTGGGACCGGTTTGCTGTTCTTTTTAGGTTTGAATTTGACTTATCGGCATGAAATCCAGAAGGATGCCTCCAAGCCGGCAGGCCTCAATCCTATGACTGCCTCAGAAGGCACGTTAAAGCTGCCCACCCGGGGTTGAACAGCGGATCTCAAGAAGCTGCATGCTGCACCAGGGTGATCATACAGTCATTTTGTGTGTGTGTGGGGCAGAGATTGACGGCATGGTCAGAGCTTTGTCGAGTGCGTCGTTGCTGCTGGATTTAAGCTTCCATTTGTTGAATGCGCCTGGCTTTCACAATATACTGAACCAAGTGGCGCAAGAGTAGGGCTTGGTTTTGCCCCTTGTCTTTCAGTCTCGAGGGGCTCATCTGTTTGCGTGTGAAGTCAAATCCTACCTAACGTAGGTTTGGGGCTTGGCGTAACAGAGTAACTCTGCTTCACACCTCACTCGGCTGGTGCAAGCCTCCCAGGACTGGAAATCAAGTTCAACCTCTTTATCGGTGACGTGGTCCAGGCAGCGAGCACATGTTTTGGGCACTGCTCTTGACAACTCACGTTAGGGCCCAGGAAGTTTCAGTTCCCGGTAAGCATGTGAAGTCAACCAGATGTGGAGCTCTTGAGACCGTGGCCTGCGTGAGTTTAAACCTCTTGACGAGCCTAAGCACCCAGAGACGCTGTTTCAGGGCCCGTTGGTGCACAACTTTGCTGACCATGTCATCGCTGGCTTTGAGTTCAGCATCCTTGCAGCATAATGTGGAATCTTGGACCCTCACATGCAAAAGCACACAGTGCAATGCAGTAGTAAAATATTCGCTGGTAGAAAGAATTGTGACGATCACTACCGGCTGACTGTGGTGGCGATTGTCGTGTCGATAGTGTTGCAGCGTTTGTTGGACGTGCGGAGTGTTGAATGGCACAAATTTAGAGGATATTGTAAATCACCTTCTGTAGGTCGCAGTAGCAGCAGAACCAACGGAATCACACATGTTTCCAAGGTAACAACTGGCTGGACTCCGTGGCGGTTGGCTCATTACTCGTAGGCAGCCGTCTGTCTGGGATTGAGCTCTTGGTGTTTTGTTTTGCACGAGCTTTTGCGGTATGTTTCGGATTCTGCAACTGGGGGATTTTATCACTGTAGGGTTCTCGGCCTGGGCTTTGGGGTTCAGGGTTTCCAGAAACTCTTGCTTAGGGATTTAGGTCAGATCTGAATTCTTAGGTCGGTTCTTAAGATTTCAATTTCAGGAGGATTCGCTTCGCTGCCTGTTGGTCCCACCTTGAGCAAAGCTACAGACATTTCTGGAAGCACTCACTGACTACCTTTGTTGATATTGCCATGCGCAGCGCAACACATCGGGTGGATCGCTGACGTCGTCCCGAGTCAACAGGAACCCTTCAAATTCAGTCTGTCTCCGATGACTCCGATAACAGAAAGTTTTCTCAGCTTGTTCATGCTGAATTCCAAAGCTGGGGATTCACAGCGCTGCCTATGAGGTGTGGGAAGCCCCAGAGCCGAAACCATGCTTCCTCCCTTTGCAATTTTGGCTTTGAGCCCTGGGCAATCGGGATTAGGATGACAATCGGGATTAGGATTTTTCTGCTGGTGTTCCCATTCCCACTGCGTGCCGACCCTGGCCTTCTTACTCGCCGTAAATCCTTGAGTACCGCGTGGACTTCGTCGTGAGCATTCCTACTTTCGTTCCTTTTCCACAGTATGCCGGCAAGGCCTCGCCGATGGTGTACGTGACATGAAACCCCGAAGCAGACACAGCCGCTGAGTCGTCACAACGATCCTTTGATTGCCAGCGAGCAAGCATCGTCAACGATGGATCATCCTGTGCCCCAGACTCCGAGCTAGACCTGGGAAAGGAACAGTCTCTTCACTCTTGCTTATCCGCACGAATGTGGTTTGCTGTGGGTGTTAATGCAGCCCTTGCAGGCGTCGAGGTCATTGAAATCAACGGCGTAGGCCGGGTCCGGGCACTTCAGGACAGATGCCTTGCTAGGAGTCCGTGGACTCCTGCTTCGGGCAGAGAACTCTTTGCTGCTTGAATAGCAGCAGTTTCAATGCTATCGTGGTACTCGGCGTTGTCTCGTCATCGAGGTCAGCATCATCAACAACAACAACATCAATATCAATCATCATCACATTATCTTCTGCATCCTCATCGTCATCATTCTTGTCCTCAGCCTCATCGTCATCCGCAGTGTCATAGTCACCCTCGTCCTCCTCCTCATCATCATCATCACCATCATCATCATCGTCATCATCACCACCATCATCGTTATCAGAATTGTCATCGTCGTCGTCATCATCATTCCCGTCATCATCAATATCACCATCGTCGTCGTCATCGCCAACATCCCAACATCGGCATCACCGTCGACAGCAGTGGCACTGCAGAACTTACTCTCATCTCGTCACATCCGGTCGTCGTCATCTCCATGAGCACCACCTCCATGAGAAAAGCCACGGCAAATCTGCACTGTCGCCGAACCATCGCGAAATCTGGATCATCATCATCGTCATCATCAGCACCACCACTAATTTTCTACTCTTCGGGCATCATCATATACCGTTACAACCCCATCGACTTGTCAATGTTTCACTTCTACCTCACACAGCAATCAGCAGCAGTCGTGTGCATGCGGAAACGCCCCCCCCCTTTTGAAGTATGGGGCTGTGCCGAAACCAACGAGCCGTGACGAGACGTCGAAAACTGCTCCAGCAGGTGCCGAGGAGGCTGCAGAGGCCGCAAGGATGGCCCCTGGAGCAGGGGACTGATCAGAGGCAGCAACGATGCTATGACCACGGCGTCTGCGATATACTATGGCCGTGATAGTTACCAAGCAACAAGCATTCTTGTTACGGTTCTTGTCTCATGGTGAGATGTCACTTTACCTGGTTTCAGGTTTTGGAGCATGATCTGGGTTCGTTCATCATCTGAAGTAAGATTTGTGTTAGGGTTTAGGTGAGTGTGTAGTAGTCTGCTTTGGGATATTGCTCAGTTCACGGTCGGAATGTCCTACTCAGCACGCGAGTAAAATCGCAGGTTTTGCTTGTGCGTGGTGGTTCATCGCAGGCTTTTACGGCAAGCTTTTGTCGCAGGTTTTTACCTCTTACAGGGTTATTTCGTGAGTCTAACAGCACAAGGGCGAGGGATGGGGAGAGTGAAAGGGAGAGAGAAGGAGAGAGGAGGGGAGAGCGGCGAAGTCTATGACATGTTGCAGGATCATTCAGAGAGTTGGTTGTTGAGTCGGGAACCTGAGAAGCCTGTTCACCTTTCAGATTGTTAGTACGACTTATGCCTCTCTTGCACGAGGACAAGGCCTGCAGTGTCTGCTGTAGGGTTGGATTTGAGTTCGGCATGTTTCCGCTCTTTCATTGGTGTTGCGACAGCGTGTGTCCCATCGATCATCGAAAAGGTTGGCACTGCGAGACGCTACTACTAAACCTTCTATGAGAGGTGTTTCGAAAGGGAGGAAGTCGTCTCTGGCAAACTACACAGAGCCCGAAAGTATCGGGGCCAAGACCGAGACCACAACCAGAAGCCGTCGAAACTGTGCTGCACATAGATCCTTGACAGCTTAGGGTTGCCTACAGAACTTACGACGAATGAGCCCCGCGAGGTGTGGAGTTGGGCGAGAGCCCACAGCGCCAGCGCGGCGCTGCCACCGAGTCCCTGCGGCCCAGAGGGCCTGGCACCCTCAAGAGTTTAGGGTTTAGGGTTTCCCTCCCCACCAAAAAAAAACATGGAATCTTGTGCAGGATTCAGTAGCTCAAGGTTGATTGGCTGTTCAGAATATGGGTCGTCTCCAGTACGAGACTGCAGTTAAAGGCACAGAGCCGACGCATATCAAGATGCAGAGAAACCGCAGATAGGCACATAGTCGAACGATCGCGAATCTTCTTCCGCCCTCGATTTTGTCGAAGCGGTCGTCGACAGTGTCGTCAACTGCATGTGTTTGCTTCGGTGCCGAGCCTTTGCAGATTCAACTGTTATGCGTGCATATACATACTTTGTATCCCTGTACATGTACATGTATAGTCTGGTCCTCACATCGCCGGGAGGCCAATAGCCTCGAAGCTAAAGCCACAAAGCCCGGGAGCTGTGTGTAAGTTCCGAAAAGCCTATGTCCTCCTCATTGCCATACCTGAACCGCCATCAGCAAAGTTGTGTCCCACTAAGAGCCTGACGGGGCTTAGGGCCCTGGCATCTGGGACCTGACGCGGCTTATGCGCTTCTGACAGAAAGTGCCAATCCTTGAGGCACCGGTTGCGACTTTGAGGGCACCTTCTACCCAAACAGGCAGCTTTATTAGCAACGGGGCTGAGATGTGGATCTCTGGGTTTTGGCCTAACAGGCTCGGCTTCAACATTTTGGGTTCAGGCTTTAGGTTTAAGCTTTTCGAAGGCTGCTTTCGTGTGCGGCCGCAGGGATGCGTTCTTGTCTAGCACGTCTCACGACTCAGGAAATGCTGAGTTCTTGGTCTGTCTCAATCTTGAACACGCAGCTACAGCTTTGGCACCCAATGCTACAGCTGTCCTGCATAGAGCCCGGCCGAAGAATTCAATCATTATACATGCTCATAGATTGGTTATCTTCAGGCTTCGTCAGCATCATTGCTGCGGCGCTCACATACTAAGACAAGTATTACGCAGTGTGGTTTGCGGTTTTGTTGACGACCCATACACAGT